AGGCGCCCTGGCCCCGCCCGAGACCGGCCGCCCCCAGCCCTGACCCCCTGGATCCGAGCCCCCCGGGGCCGGGGAGCAGCCGGGACCCACCTGCCCGGGGCGCGGGGTCCGCTCGGTCTCCCTCCAACGCCGCCGGGCGGCTCCGAGCCGAGCCAGGAAACGGGGCGAGTCAGATGGAAACCGAAAGCGGCGGGTGGAGCCGGTTTAACCGCTTCGGATCCAGGGACCCGAGACCCAGCCCGACCCCTTGGGGGCGCCGCCACTCGCCCACCCCGGCCCCGGCCCCACAGCACCGGCTACAGACTCCAGACTCCCCCGGGGCTCTGCCAATCTGACCTGGGGGAAACCCCCCGCCCTGCGTTCCCAGCCCCCACCCACCAGCCCCCACTCCCCTCCCAGAGCTGGGGAGAGAACCCAGGAGTCCTGGCTCCCAGCCCCCCCTGCTCTAACCCACCAGCCCCCCTCCGCAACCCTCACAGTCAGGGCTGGCCCCAGTGCAGTCCTCAGGGACACTGGGCTGCAGGGAGTGGGGCAGAGGGTCAGTAGGGGGCGCCAGCCTGCAGGGAGCGGGGAGGGAGTCAGTAGGGGGCACCAGGTGGCAGGGAGGGGGGTGGGAGTCAGTAGGGGGCACCAGGTGGCAGGGAGTGGGGTGGGAGTCAGTAGGGGGCGCCAGCCTGCAGGGAGGGAGGTGGGAGTCAGTAGGGGGCGCCAGCCTGCAGGGAGGGAGGTGGGAGTCAGTAGGGGGCGCCAGGTGGCAGGGAGCGGGGTGGGAGTCAGTAGGGGGCGCCAGGCGGCAGGGAGGGAGGTGGGAGTCAGTAGGGGGCACCAGGTGGCAGGGAGTGGGTGGGGGGCCTGTAGGGGGCACTGTGCTGCAGGGAGTGGGTTGGGGAGGGAAACTGAGGCAAGGGGGGGTGAGGCAGTGCCTGTATCTGAGCTTGGACACAGCATCCACGCCCAGCACACACTGACCTCTAAGCAGGGGGCAGCGGGAGGCTTTGCAGCAAAGCCTTCTGCTAGATGCACTCGGTACCGCTGTGCTGTGTGTCATGGCCCCTGTACTGCCAGCATCTGCCTCTGCACCTGGAAACCCGGCATGGCAAACCCGGGGTTAAACACCCCTAGGATGGAGACGCAGGCCCCAAGGGCTCCGGTCGTTCCCACCAGCTGGGCGGCTGCAGGGTCAGCCGGGTCACTAGCTCGGAGAGACCCAACCCTCCCTGCCTCCCCCACCACCGGGTTTCCCGGAATCAGCCCTGTGCTGAGAAAGGCTCCGGCTGCTTTCGGTTTCCATCTGACTCTGACACGTCCAGGGGATTTAGAGCTGCCACACCCGGATCATCGGCCTGGTCTGTGAGTTGGCATCATGGACACTTCTCTGAAAACATCCGCTCCATGCGCAGCAACCCCCCGAACAGCGAACAGGCCGGGGGGTGGGGGGTGGGAAGCGATAATCGGACAGACACACTCATCACGCTGCCGGCCAGGGGCCGCCCGGCCCACCCGTGAGCACTGCGGGCAGTTCCGGGCGTCCGGCTCCAAAAAGATCCGGTAGAACTGGAAAAGGGGCCGAGACGGGCACAAAAATTTGGGGTTGTGAGCCAGCTTCCCTCTGAGGAGAGATTGAAAAGATGGGGGCTGGTCAGATTGGAAAAGAGACGCCCGGGGGGATGTGACCGAGGTCTGTACAGTCATGACTGGTGCAGGGAAATGTGCCTTCGCATGTCATGCGAACCAGGGGGCCACCTGATGAAATTAATGGGCAGCAACAACAGGAAGCATTCCTTCACCCAACGCACCGTTAACCTGTGGAACTCACTGCCAGGGGATGTTTTGGAGGCCAGAAGTAGAACAGGGTTCAGAAAGAACTAGATGAGTTGCTGGGGGAATCGGTCTCTCAGTGGCTATTAGCCAGGATGGTCACAGACGCCCTTGCACTGGGTGTCCCTAGGAACGGGTGACAGGGGATGATGGGTGACGTGCTGATGACCTGTTCTATTTGCTCCCTCTAAAGCAGCTGGGACCAGCCCCGCTCAGAAGACAGGATCTGGGGCTAGATGGGCCATGGGGCTGACCCAGTCTGGCTGTTCTGATGTTCTGGCGACGCTGGGCCCAGTGAAGCAGTGGGGGGTGCCATGCCGCAGGGGCGGGGGGCTCGGCTGAGAATGTCCCGCTGCAGGGTGTGGGGCAGGGGACTCAATAGGGGGCGCTGTGCCGCAGGGAGTGGGGTGGGGAGATCGGAGGGAGGCGCTGGGGTGAGGGGCGGAGGGCTCAGTAGGGGGCGCTGTGCTGCAGGGAGCAGAGCGGGGAGCTTGGCTGGGAATGTCCCGCTGCAGGGTGTGGGGCAGGGAACTCAATAGGGGGCGCTGTGCCGCAGGGAGCGGGGTGGGGAGCTCAGAGGGGGGCGCTGGGGTGCGGGGCTCAATAGGGGGCGACGTGCTGCAGGGAGCGGGGCAGGGGGCTTGGCAGGGGGCTCCGTGCCGCAGGGAGCAGTAGGTCCAGTCAGATTTAAACGTCCCGTTGCCGGGATTTTCCCGGCCCGGCCGGGCGGGTTTGCAACCAGCGGGGAGCTGCCACAAAGTTACCCCAGCATAGGATCTGGGCCTGGGGCCGGACAACCCTCTGGCACGGCCTTTGCCAGCAGCGGGCCAGGCAGGCGCCTGCCGCAACCCCCGTGGTTTGGGCACCGAGCAACCCGGGCAGATTTCCCAGGGTGCTGACTGGGGGGAGGCTGGGGGGCTTCCCAGACCGGCCCTGTGTGTCCAGGGAGGTTTTCACACTGAGCGACACGGGCTGGGATGCTGGGACACCCCCTCGCCCGCTCCACACCCTGAGAGCAGTTTGCTCTTTCCTGGCCTGCTCCCCCTCTACTGTGCCCCCATCCTGCGGCCAGAGCGGGCACCTAATCCCCTGTGGGGGACATGGAGTCGGACTCCTGGGTTCTCTCCCGGCTCTGGGAGGGGAGGAGGGTCTGGTGGGTTAGAGTTGGGGGGGCTGGGAGTTAGTGGACCCCAAAGGTATTAAATTCACTTCAGTCGGGTTTGTCTGGCTCCGTCGGGTTATCGTCAGAGGGAAGGACACCCAGGTGCGGGCGCTGCCCCGAGAGGCTAGACCGGGGCGTATCGAACCCTGCGAAGGACGAGCTGGTGCTGGAAATCCCCGGCCGGGCTCGGGAGGGAGGGTCAGACTCGGTCTGCAGGGCCAGCCTGGAGCAATGCCGGGCTCGGCTGCGCTCGGAGGAGCCCCAACCTCTGCACCTCGGTCTGTGCACGTCCGGCCGCACGGGGACCTGCCGCGGCCCGGCTCCCAGCTCCGTGGGGTTCACTGCGCCACAGCGAGTCCTCGTGGGGCCTCCTCCGAAGGCTGCCAGGGTCCCAGACACCACAGCCGA